AGTAGGTCGGGCCTCTTCAATTGCCTTTTCCTGGGTGTCGCCGATGAAGAAGCGGTAACCGAGAGCAACGTCTTCGCCCAAGGCAATTTCGCGCCCGTGGGCCGCAGCGCCTTGCTGGTACATTTCCATCCGCTCACTCAGGGCGGACTCAGGCGTGTTGGCGATCAGGGCCTTTATGCCCATTTTACCCATGAAGTCGATACCCTTGGGGTTGCCGCTGACCAGGGGCTGCCAGATTTCCACCGGCTGACTGATGGGACGGGGCACCAGGCTGATCTTTTCCAGTTGGTAGCCGCGATAGGGCACCGACGCGGGAAACTTGTAGTGCTTGCCCTCGTGGGAAAAGGACTCTTCGGAGAAGGCCTTGACCAGCACTTCCACCTGCTCCTCGAAAAGCTCCCGGTTGGCATCGCCGTCCAGCATGGGCGCGGCGAAGGTCTCGACTTCCCGCGTATGGTAGCCACGGCCTACCCCAAAGAGCACCCGACCGCCGGTAAGAATGTCAGCCATGGCGTAGTCCTCGGCCAGGCGCAGGGGATGCCACATGGGGGTGATGTTGAATCCGCAGCCGTACTTAAGCCGCTCCGTATTGCTGGCCAGGTAGAGGCTCAGCATCAGGAGGTTGGGGATGCACTCGTAACCTTCCGTTTGGAAGTGGTGCTCCGCCATCCAGAACTCGTCATAGCCCAGGCTCTCCAGGTGGCGCGAGAAGTCCAGGGCCCAGTCAAAAGCCTCGGCCAGCCTGTCGTTGGGATAGTTGCGGTCGTTGGCTGGCATGCCCTCGAAGCCCAGGTTGTCGTCTACAACGTGTCCGGCGTAAGAAGCGCTAAAACTGCGAAACATTGGCTATTCCCTCTAGTTGTCCGGTTAGGTGTTAGTTGCCCCTATAGGTTTCCTGTAGTCCGGAACCTGTTACACCGACGGCGGGGGCGCCGGGGCTGGGTTGTGCAGTTCCACGCCCAGAGTGGCGGGGAAGACTCGGATAATCTCCTCAATGGTCCAACGACCATCCTTGTGCATCGTCCGCACCGGTTCCGGCTCGTTCAACATGCTGACCAGGCCTTCGGTTACGTAAAACACGTGGCCGTTGACGTGGGCGGCCTCGTCAGAGGCCAGCCACGTGGTGAAGGGAGCCACGTCTTCAGGCTCGCCGCGCAGGCCGCCCACGTTGCCGCCGCTCACGCCGCGGGAAGCGCGCAGTTCGCGGGCCTCGTCGGGCACACTGCCAATCATGCGGGTCTGGGCGCTGGGAGCGATGGAATTGGCGGTTACGCCGTAGCGACCCATATCCCGGGACACCACCCGAGTGAACCCGGCGATGCCATCCTTGGCCGCGCCGTAGTTGGCCTGACCCGTGTTGCCGTAAAGTCCCGAAGTGGAACTGAAGGTGATAACCCGGCCCGACCGCTGCTGCCGGAAGAGGATACAGGCGTGCTTGACGACGGTAAAGGTGCCCTTAAGGTGCACGGCGATAACGTCGTCCCACTCCTGCTCGCTCATGTTGAAAATCATCCGGTCGCGGAGAATGCCGTGGCAGGTTACCACGGCGTCCAGCTTGCCATAAGCGTCGATGGCGGTCTGGACGATTTTCTCGCCGCCATCCATGGTTGCCACCGACTCCTGGCAGGCTACGGCCTCGCCGCCGGCCTCGCGAATCTCTACGGCCACCTGCTCGGCAATGGACTGGTCGGAGCCGCTGCCGTCCAAGTTGACGCCCGGGTCAACTATCACGACTCTGGCTCCCTCGGCGGCCATCTGCATGGCCACGCCCTTGCCGACGCCGCGGCCTGAGCCGGTTACGATTGCTACTTTGTTCTCAAGAAGATTGGGCATTTATGCGCTCCAGTTCGGAGTAGTTTTCGATATTTGTGCAATGTAAATCCGGTAGAGCCTCTGCTCTCTACGCCCGGGGAGGGGCCGGATTGTAGATGCCCCGGGTCAGTTGATTCCTGGCCTGAGGGGCAATGTCCTCCATAGACCAGTGACCGTCATTGTAAATAGACCGTTCCGGACGGGGCTGCGACATCAGGGATATCTCGCTGGAATAGACCAGGAAGGTTTGCCCGTTTATCGTGGCCGCATAGTCGCTGGCCAGATAGCAGACGAAGGGGGCGATGTCGTCCGGATCCATTGTCTCCGGTTCATTGCCCTGGTCCAGGGTCTGGACTCCGCCACGGGCGCGAATTTCCGCAGCGCTATCAGGGATGGCGCCTATCATGCGGGTGGTAGCCCTGGGCGCAATGGAATTGGCGGTTACGCCGTAGCGGCCCATGTCACGGGCCACGACCTTGGTGAACCCGGCGATGCCCGACTTGGCGGCGCCGTAGTTGGCCTGGCCGGAATTGCCCTGAAGCCCGGACTGGGAGCTGAAGGTGATTATCCGGCCGTAACGCTGCTGGCGGAAGAGAATGCAGGCATTCTTGACCACGCTGAAGGTGCCCTTCAAGTGCACGGCGATAACGTCGTCCCACTCCTGCTCGGTCATGTTGAAAATCATCCGGTCGCGGAGGATGCCGGCGCAGGTTACGACAATGTCCAGCTTGCCAAAACTGTCGATGGCAGTCTGGACAATCTTCTCGCCACCATCCATGGTCGCCACCGACTCCAGGCAGGCCACGGCTTGACCGCCTTCCTGCAGTATTTCCGCCACCACCTGCTCGGCGATGGACTGGTCTGATCCGCTGCCGTCAACATTGACGCCCGGGTCAACCACCACTACCTGGGCACCCTCCTGGGCCATGAGCTTGGCTACACCGCGGCCCACGCCCCGGCCGGAGCCGGTAACGATGGCTACCTTGTCTCTGAGTATGTCCGCCATATTTGATTTAACCTCGGTTTTGATTCTCGAATTGAAACCAGGGAAATGGGACTAGGCCTACCGAACCTGTCCCGTAAAGTTGGCAAAGCCCAGGGCATCGGTAACTCCCAAGTCAGGTTCGTGTCCTGTGAGTTGGCTTATGCGATGAGCGTCCAGAGGCCTTGCTACGGTAAAGGGCCTGGGCGGTTCGCTCATCAGTTGTTCGATAATCTGGACAAAGGTTTCGGTAGCGCCAATGGCGTAAAGAACATCGTCCTCGTAGAGGAAGTTCTCATAGAAACTCTCGTGGTGCAAGTCTCCGGCGTCTCGACCCCTGTAGAGACTCTGAGCTGCGGGAGTAGAGGGCCCCAGTTCCGACCCCAATTGGGAAACTACAGCCTGCCGCATAGCGTGGCTATCGTGCCGCCAACCTCGCTGCTGAGCGATGGCTTTCAAAGCAGTAGCCACAGATCCAGACAGCTTCTCAGATGCTTGAACCAGATCACCGGCTTCCAGCTCAACCCTGGACTGCCGTAGGTAATGGTTGCTCATCTGCAGGTAGCCGTCGGGAGTATGGCCCCCTGGCTGCGGCGCTGGTATAGCCGGTGAAGCCATCGTAGCTACCCTTGCCGGCTGGGCAGGGTTACCGTAGCGTTGCCGGGGGTGGTATTCTGGCCCTCGGTATTTTCCAGCCATACAGTGCAATCAACCAGGCGCTGCCCATCCTCCTCGTACACCCGGGTAACGGTGCCCTTGGCGGTTATGGGGCTGCCCGGGGCATCCATACCCCGGTACTGGCACTGCAGCCGCTTCAGCGTGCCCTGCGGCCCAATCCAGTCGGTTACCAGCTGTCCCAGGAACGCGCTCTTCAAAGCGCCGTGCAAAATGGGACCATCCAACTGGTTGCCAACGGCGAAATCCTTGTCGTAGTGAATCTCGTAGAAATCACCGGAGGCGCCGGCATATTGCACCAGTTGACGCGTGGTGGGTTCTTTGACTATCGAAGGCAGTTCCATCCCTTCGGAAATGTCTTCCCAGTAGACTTGCTCGGCCATTGAACTACCTCTGCGCATTGACTGCGTCGGGGGCGCCCCCAAGGGACGCCCCTATATCCCGTTCACTATGTTGGGGCAGCTCAGGTGGCTGCCCGATACTAATATGCTATCAGGGTATTGGTCTGGGTGGCGACCACCTCGTCGAACTGGTTGCTGTAGGTGGTTACGGTAGTCATAAACACCATGACGCCCAGACGGCCGGCCCGCTCGGTCAATTCGCCTATGCGAGCCACTGCAGTAATACGGTCCCCGGGTCGCACCGGCTGGAAATATTCCCAGTCACTGCCGCCGTCCAACCGGCGACTGAAGGAAAGCTCGAAGGGCAACTCCAGGTTGACCCCGCGCACGGAGCGGAGAAAAGTAGGCGGGGCTACCAATCCACCAAGCATGGACTTGCGGGCGGCGGCCTCGTCAGTGTACTGAGGATTGAGGTCGCCGATAGCTTCGGCAAACCGGAGGATGGCCCCCTTTTCCACTTCCATCGTGACCGGTTGACTCTCCAGACCAATAGCTTGCTGACGCATCTCTTCGGTAAGGAAAGTGGCAGGGGTAGACAAGGTAAAACCTCCCTTCGGTTATCGGGCAAAAGCATACAACCGGCACCCGGTAGTGTCAAGAAATGGCGTATGTGGCGGGCGCCCTCACCCCATGACCCTCCCCGCAACAGAGCGGGGAGTTTATTGGTAGCCAACTCTGGGTTTCGGGCCGCCAAAGTTACGCCCCACAGCCCTAAACTCCCGCTGTTTGCACGCCGTACCTGCTGAAGTTCCGGTACACGCCCTCGGGCATCTGCCAGCAAGCCACCTGCTTGGTGGCCTTCTCGGCGGCGCAAGCATGACAGAAGATGGCGTATACCACATTTTTGCGGTATTTGCGTCCTTCCAGCCGAACGCCGTAGGCAGGGCCCGAATGGTCGGTTGCTTGGTGGAGACAATAAAGACAACCGTCAGGTGTGACAATCGGGGAGAATGGGTTGACGCGCTCTACAGGTTTTCGGTGGTTGTCAGTAATGTCGGTCATAATGTATACAGCTCCCTATCACTGATTTGGCCAGCCAGCCAAACAGTCAGCAAGTTTGGAGCCGCTACTCTACAATCCGTGTCAACCCCAATTATTTGGGTATTTTCGCTACTTTCTCAGATTGATTTAATGCTTTCCGAAGGTTCGACATCTGCCGACGCAAACAGAAGGGTCCGTCGCTGGCTGCGAGAAGTGCGCCGCAGCCTCTTGCTGTTGATGCTGGCGCTGGTTGTGTTAACCATTGGCCAGTCGGACTACCGGCCCACGGGTCTGGACATAGCGACGGCGCCTTATCGCTACAGCATAGTTTCCTGGGAACTGAGCCATCTCTCCCACAAGTGGACCCGCAAGCTGGCAGACCTGTGGCCCTGGCAGCGTGAGTTGTCTCGAGCAGAGCAGGTTGCCCTGGTCCAGAATTTTTTCGACTGGGGCCAGCAGCAGAGGGAGATGGAAGGCACCCTGCGAAAGGCGGAGCTGGGTGACCCTGGTACTTCGGATAGCGAGGTTGCCCGCCGCGACAGGACTATTGCACACCTGTCCTTGGCGCTGGAAAGGAACCGGGACCGCCGGAAGGAACTCTTGCCCGAGGTAGAAGGTATAGTGGAGGAAGAGCTGTCCCGAGTGCTGACCCAGGAGGGTCTTACCGCCGGCTGGCTTGGCGTATTTCCGCCGGTGGACGCCGTCTTCGGTAGTACACCCAACGTCATGGCCCTTTCGCCCAGGGACCGGATCTATCGCGAAGATGCTTTCCTGTTGCAAGCCGGCCTGAGCGATGCGGTCAAGGATGAGCTGGAAAAGGTAGCTCTGGATACCGAGGACCTCTCGGCGGTGGTGGTAAGGACCGGCGGCCTGTCGGTCTATCCCAGCGTAGTACTGGATACCTCTGGCCTCCGCAATGCCCTGGAAGTGGCTTCCCACGAATGGTTGCACCACTGGCTCTTTTTCCGGCCCCTGGGTCGCAATTTCGGGCAGAGTCCGGAGATGCTGACGTTGAACGAAACCGTCGCCTCCATCGCCGGAGAGGAACTGGGCGATCTGGTGTATACCTCCCTGACCGGAGAGGCTGTAAACCGTCACTGGGAGCGGATCAACCCTGACAGGTTTGATTACAACGCCGAGATGCGGGAGACCCGCCACCACGCCGAGGAACTGCTGGCCCAGGGAGATATCGAGGGGGCTGAGGCCTACATGGAGGAACGGCGCCGCCTCTTTGTGACCAACGGCTTCAGCATCCGCAAGATTAACCAGGCCTACTTTGCCTTTCACGGCTCCTACGCCACCAGGCCCGGCTCGGCCAGTCCCATTGGCGAGCAAATGCGGGAACTGCGCCGCCGCAGTGGGTCCATCAGGGAGTTCCTGGAAACGGTGTCCCAGTTTGGGAGTTACGAGGAGTATCTGGAGTTCCTGGCATCAACCCGGTTGTCTAGCGGGCCCAATGCTTTCAGGGACTTGATCGTCAGCCATTCAGAACCTGGAATATGAAACTCCCTTCGTCCAGGAAAGCCCTACACCCACGGCCGCTGTTTGGAGCGTTCCTTTTGGGAGGTATAAGTGGGCAAACCCTGTCGTTCCAACGTCTCCGACACCATTTGCTTGAACAGTTGGCGGTCCCTTCCGGTTATCACGGCCTGCTCGTGGGCCTCGGAAATGGCCACGGGATAGCCCTGCCCCCGCCGGCACTGCTCCGCTATCAGGGTGTGGCTCAAGGCCAGCAGGGTCTCGTCCTCCGCAACCCACTGGGGCACTTCTACGCGAGCGATCTCCTCTCCGGCATTAAGGTAGTAGAAGCAGACCTGCTGCCCATCGCCATAGTATTCCCTGGGCACCGAGGAGCTGGTCTGGTAAATGGGCGACCGATGGTATGTCTCCAGGAGTTCGCCAAAAATCTCCCGGTCGAGAAAGTCGTTGGAGTTGCTGCAGGGCTCCCGGTCCGAGCGGCGGTTGCTGCATGACTCGCGGCAATGGGAAATCTCATATGTGCAGAGGCAGCGGCGAATGGCGTTGGCTACCTCGGTGCTGCGGGGCAGGGATACGTAGGCAGCAAGAGAGACCGGCCGTTCCTGGGCCAGTTGCCGAAATCCCTCCAGGGCGGCCAGCAACCCTTCCTTGATTATGTGCTCCCGTACAAAATCCCGGTAGCCGTGGCCGGCCAGACCCCACAGGACGAGGGTGCCGTCCACCAGGGCCAGAACCGGCAACTCGGACGGGCAACCTTTCGCCACTTCCAGCAAGGATTCCAGCTCGCGTACCGTTCGGTGCAAGCCCAGCAGGTTGCCGGTGATCGCCTCCTCTTCACTGGCTCTAAGGGGGTTCGTCAAGTACAGTTCATCCTGCTGAGCAGCCAGATGGGGGCGGCTGAAGAATTGCGCGTCTCCCCGCGAACCATAGGTTAATACACAGCCCCCCAAGTTTATGAGGTGGCACGGCACGGGTAGGTGTCGGTCAACATCTATGTGGGAGCCATCCACCGAAGCTGCCACCCAGTCTGCGGGCGCAGGCAGTGGCCCCACCGCACCCAGCAGGGTGTCCACCACCTGGGCGGCCAGGAAGGGCTCGTAGAACCGATTTGTTCGCTGTCGGGCTACCTCGGGAGACACATCAGAGGCTTCGGCAATCAGCCGCGTCAGTCGTTCATGCCGGTCGTGGTGGCTCCGTCCCAGGTTTTGGGACACCCGGTCTAATTGAATTATGGTTTCGCCCAGGTCAAGGGACATATATACCTTCCGTACGTGGATTGCTGGCCCAGGCTAATCCTGCAAGACCCTGAACAGGCCGACCATTGGGCCCAACCACGAGTGTGTTCCAAATGCAGGTGGCTATGTTAGGTATGATCGTGGGCGCCTGACCACATAACAGTATTTGCCCTGGTCGCAAGCTTGTCAAAGAGCATAATTCCTGAATACCACTGAGCTTACGTTAGAAAGTATTATTGAGAAGTCCCTCTTGCCGCTTCATAGCCGTGTTCCCGCCACGCCAGGTGCAAAGACTTTAGTATCGGCTCAACCAACGGCGGCCTGTGAAGCGTCAAGGAATCTGATAATCTGTCTGAGACAGCCTTAACTAGCATTCGGGCCAGATTAGGGTGGACATTGAAACGGGGATACTCGATGACAGCCGCCGATCAATTTGCCGTTTACCTTGATGCCGTTGCCGAGCAACAGTCTCGTTTACACGGCATGGCCGGGTCAGGGGATCCCTGGACCCGAAGGCTGGCCCGTCTGTTCCGCTTCGACCCCCGCCGCATCCTGGAACCCAACCTGGAACTTATTTCCCGTTACGTGCGGCCTGAAGATGTACTGGTCGACGTGGGCGGGGGCGCGGGCAGGGTCAGCCTGCCGCTGGCATTGCGCTGCCGTGAAGCCATAGTGGTTGACCCGTCTACCGCAATGGGCGCCGAGTTCGAGGACAGTCGGCGCAAGGCCGGAATCACCAACGGCCGACGCATTCAGGCCAACTGGATGGACGTGGAAGGCGTGGTTGGCGATGTGGTATTTTCCGCCGACGTAACCTACTTCGTACGAGATATAGTCCCTTTCATTGAAAAACTGGAGTCATCAGCCCGCCGCCGAGTCATGATTACGCTCTGGAGCGTGGCTCCACCCAACAGCGAAGCAACGCTATTCGACCTATTCTACGGCGAAAAAATGGCGCCCGTACCGGGGTTTCGGGAGTTGCTGGCGGTGCTATGGGAGATAGGGAGACTCCCCGACTTGCTGACGCTGCCGGAGCCTCCCTGGTGGGAGGGCAAGCTCCTGGGCACCAGAGAGGAAGCCGTAAATGACGTGATTGAAAGCGGATGGGTGCGAGAAGACGACATTGCTGCCGCCAAAGAGGTAATTTCTCGAAACTTCAACCGGTTGTTCAGCGCCGATGCCGAGGGGTACCGACCACGATGGCGCCAGCCTTCCCGTGAACTGCTGATAACCTGGACTACAGGTCCTTAGTACGGGTAGACGCGTTGAAAAATTCGACAACCGTGCATCCGGCCACGACGATTGCCATTGATTCGGTTCGGTTCCTTTCTACTGGCAGTTCTGTTGGGACTCAGCCATTCCAGGCGACAGATCCCCTTTTCCAGCAGCCCAGCAGTGGACCTTTCCTTCTGCTTAGGCTGGATACCGTACCAATCCATTGGATCTAACATAACGTAATATCTTATACAAACATGAGTCATCCCGAATTTTGGGTGCATGGTGAGAAAGGGGGAGGGTAGGCGAGGCACTTAGAGCTGATCTGATTCTGGGAAGCGGTATCGCGGCGTCGCGGTACCGCTTCCCGGTTCTGTGGCACCAGTTTCGCAGGAGACCTTCCACCAGGGGCTGGCAGTGAGGGTGTAGCAGAGACAGCAGGAAGGAGTAGAGCAGGCTGACCATGAGCAACAGCGTGAGCCGGTTCTCCCAGAACCAGAGGCGGGGGCTTTCCATGGCCAGGTCGGTCTTGCAGGCTCGGTAGCAAAGTTCCACCTGCCAGCGGCGGGCATAGGCGAAGACCACTTTCCAGGCAT